TAGACCTAAGCGATCCTCCCACCTCAGCCACCCAAGAATCTGGGACTATAGGCCCACACCACAACATGCTGGGCTAATTTATTATTATTATTATTATTATTTGTAGAAATGAGGTCTTGCTATGTTGCCCAGGCTGGTCCTGAACTCCTTCCTGGGCTCAAACAGTCCACCTGCCTCAGCCTCCCAGAGTGCTAGGATTACAGGTGTGAGCCACTGCATTCAGCCTAAATCTAGTTTGGCTTCTAGCACAGCAATCAGAGTTTTTTACATATTCCAATCCTAGCCTGGTTTTGTTTCTCTTTCTTTCACCACTCACCTGTCATTCTCACTCCAGTCTCTTCCCTGCCATCAGCCAGCAACAGAGTTGCGTACTGATCACACCCGTTATCCAGGTGCTTTGGAAAGCTGTTTGGTAACCAAACACTCTCAGCTGCCTCCTCCAGGTCTAAACCGCTAACAGACTGTTTTCTGCTGCACGAGAGGGCCAAGTTTGCTCTTCTCTGGCCTATGATGAGGTATTTTAAGATGCTGGCAATAATTCTCTAAAAATAGAGCATTGGATAAATTCTTGATTTGAATTATGGATAACTTTACCCCTCCGAGGGCAAGGGAAACAACAACCAGTGCTATTTCACTTAACCCTGATCAACAAGGAAAGTTGGTGAATACAGATAGAGAGAACAAGAAAAATGGACCATGTTTTTCTCAAGTCCATGTTATGTTAAAGTTTTTAGCCAAGGAAGAAGCCACATTTCTTTTTTTGTTTGTTTGTTCAGTCTCTATATATACTTTCAAATTCAAAAATTGCCAATGCTGACTATATTTTTAGTTGTCATGGAGGGGTATTGGGAAAAGTTTTCAATGAGCAATAATCACACTTTTAATAAACCTCATTGGCTACAATAGTATGATATTGCCCCTGCACAAAACTAGAGATCACATTTATCACAATGTTTTTTATTTTCTTTTCATTCTTTCCTTTTTTTAAACAAGTATACTATTTTATTCTAAGGGAATAGATCTGTGGTTTAAACCCCAAAGTGGTTGAAAACCACAGAACAGAAGGGATGTTTTAGATATTTCTCTTTTGGTTTTCTTGATGTTTTCTCCTCCCCTGGGGGGGACAAAATGTTAACTTTACAAAAATTTAGGAGATAATTTTTTTTTTTTGAGACGGAGTTTTGCTGTCACCCAGGCTAGAGTGCAGTGGCACCATCTAGGTCTCTCACTGCAACCTCCATCTCCCAGGCTAAAACAATCCTCCCACCTCAGCTTCCCTAGTAGCTGGACCACAGGCACTCACCACCATCTCCAACTAATTTTTAAATTTTTTGTAGAGACAGGTTATCACTATTTTACCCAGGCTGGTTTTGAACTCCCACACTCAAGCAATCCTCCTGTCCCAGCCCTCTAAAGTGCTGGGATTACAGGCCTGAGTCTCTGTGTACAGCCAGTTTTAGTAAAATTCAAAGAGCAAATAATTAGACACACATGTCAAAAGCTACATGTATGAGGAATGACCAATAATCAACATTTTATGAATAAATTTAGGGTTCTGGGCTACTCTGTGGACTAACATGCAAATGAAATCCTGATACAGTCATTTATCAGCGTACTGGTTGTTCTCAGCTAAAAGATACCAATTTTTTGGCTGGGCACGGTGGCTCACGCCTATAATCCCAGCACTTTGGAAGGCGGAGGCGGGTGGATCACGAGGTCAAGAGATCGAGACCATCCTGGTCAACGAGGTGAAACCCCATTTCTACAGTAGCGCGTGCCTGTAATCCCAGCTACTCAGGAGGGTGAGGCAGGAGAATTGCTTGAACCCAGAAGGCGGAGGTTTTGGTGAGCCGAGATCGTGCCATTGCACTCCAGTCTGGGTAACAACAGCGAAACTCCATCTCAAAAAAAAAAAGATACCGATTTTTTTTCCTTTCTGGTATTTTATAACAATGTATCTACTATGCTAACAATATTTGTTTTTTCATACAACTACAGAAGGGGAAAATGTTGTGTTTAGACAAACCACAAAATTCATATAGTGCGGACTATTCAACATGATGTTTCTGGAAAGTTTATTGGCAGACTTATCAGACAATTCAATTATTTGTTCTCCATATCAGGCAAGGTATGGAGGAAGTTTTTGAGTCAGAAATGACAAACAGATGGAATTAATGATGTCGAATTGGGGCAGATTTACTTCTTTCATTCAGCTCATGGTAACAAAAACGAGATTTGTTATGGGCAGAGACAGAAGCATCAAGTACACAATGTCAAAAGGCCTTTTTTAAATTTTACTTAAATGCCTTTCATCTGTAAAAAAAAAAAAAAAAAAACCCCTGCCACCCCCACCTAAAAAATGAGACCTCCTGAAAAGTCTTTCAAAATTAAAATTTTAAAGAGGCTTTTTGGTATCTCTAAATTTTGTCATAGGGTCAAATTAACCTCAGCTAAAGCAGTTCTGTGATTGGCCAACATCATAAAAGCTTGAATTAAAAATTTTGCAGGGGCCAGGGACAGGTGGCTCATGCCTGTAATCCCAGCACTTTGGGAGACCGAGACAGGTGGATCACCTGAGGTCAGGAGTTCGAGACCACCCTGGCCAACATAATGAAACCCCATCTCTACTAAAAAAAAAAAAAAAAAATTAACCAGGCATGGTGGACACCTGTAATCCCATCTACTCAGGAGGCTGAAGCGGGAGAATCACTTGAACCCGGGAGGAGGGTACTGCAGTAAGCCAAGATTGTGCCACTGTACTCCAGCCAGGGCAACCGAGTGAGACTCCATCTCAAAAAAAAAATTTTCAGGGAAGAAACTGAAAATGAAGATGAGGGAACAACAGAGGCCACATTTCTTAATTATATTTTTAAGGGCCCTATTTTACAAGGTTGGCCCAGTGGTTGTCAAAGTGTAGTCCACCAACTAGTGGGAACTTGTTAGAAATGTCGTTTTTGAGGCTCACCTCAGTCTTCCTGACTCAGGAACTCTGAGGTAGGACCTAGTAATTCTTTTAGGGAGCCTGTCAGGGGATCCTGAGGCAAGTTAGACAACCACTAGAGGAAATATTGCTATGCTTCCATGAACAAAGACTCTCAGAGAGCAGCTTCCAGGTTCACAAGAACTACCTGGGGCGGTTTTGTTTTCCAATAAGCCTTTTGTACTTTTAGTCTTATGCTTGTTTAAATGCAGGTTCCTGGGCTTCTCCCCAAGAGAATATGATTCAGTAGGTCTGAGGTGGGTCCAGAAATCTCATTTTAAGAAACTAGCTGGTTAATTCTGATGCAGGTGGTCCACAGATGACTCTGAGAAGCCATACTCATTGGTCAGCTCTTAGTCCTAATAGAGTCATTTGACACAATTGACCACACCTGCCTCCTGGAAGCACCTTCTGCTCACTAGTCTTTCTTGGTATTGTGTCTGACTTACAGACCACTTAATCTCAGTTTCCTTTACTGAATTCACCGTTCTTCCAAACCTGTAAATACTAGTGTGTCCTAAGGTGCATGCTTCCTATCTATTCTCTTTTCCATCCATGCTCACTGCCTTTTTTTTTTTTGAAGCAGAGTCTGGCTCTGTTGCCCAGACTGGAGTGAAGTGGTGCAATCTTGGCTCCCTGCAACCTCCCTGGCTCAAGCCATCCTCCCACCTCAGCCTCTCAAGTAGCTGGGACTATAGGTGTGCACCATCAGGCCTGGCTAATTTTTGTATTTTTTGTAGAAACGGGGTTTGGCTATGTTGCCTAGTCTAGTCTCCAATTCCCAGGCTCAAGCGATCCACCCAACTTAGTGACCCAAAGTGCTGGGATTACAGGCATGAACCACTGCACCTGGCCCATGCTCACTTCTTAAGTGCCAATGACACAGATGTATTTAATATATCTCGAGAAATAGGTATCAGATACCTCCACTTGGAGATTTTAATGACATCTAAAATGTAATATGTCCAACACTGGATTCTTGCTTTCCACCTTTCGGAGCTGCTCTACCCATCTCTCTAATTTTCCCATTCCCACAGATGCAACCACCATGTTCAGTTTCTTCTGGTTGCTCAAGCTAGAACCCTAGAAATGATTCTTTAGTCCACTTTTATGTTCTCCAAATTCAACCCTTTAGCAAATCTTTTTCACTCTCTCTCTTTTTAAAATACGACCTAAATCAGCCCAGGTGCAGTGGCTCACACCTGTAATCCCAGCATTTGGGGAGGCCAAGGCTGACAGATTGCTTGAGTTCAGGACTTTGAGACCAGCCTGGGTGATATGGTGAAACTTCAGCTCTACAAAAAAAAAAAAAAATTAGCCAGGCATGGTGGTGCCTGCCTGTAGTCCCAGCTACTCAAGAGCCTGAAGTGGGAGAATTGCTTGAGCCCAGGAAGTGGAGGCTGCAGTAAGCTGAGCTTGCACCACTGCACTCCAGCCTGGGCAACAAAGTGAGACCCTGTCTCAAAAACAAAAATATGTCCTAAATCTGCCTATTTCTAACCTTCTTCACCACCACTGCTCTATTCCAAACCACCAGTATTTCCTCCCTAGACAACTGTGACAGCCTTCTCTTGCATGACAGGTTAGGTGCGCCTTCTAAATTTACAGCATGTCATCGCTCTACTCACCACCCTCTACTAGCTTCCCAGCTCACTTGGATATAATCCGAAGTTATTAACAAGACCTATGCATGATCCAGTTCCTGCCCCATTTCCAAACTCAGCACTATGATGCTTTCCCTCACTCTGTTCTCCAACCTTTCTGCCCTCCTTGTTCTTCCTCTATCAAGCCAAACACATTTGCACTGCAGGGTCTTTGCACTAAATGCTGCTGCTTCCAGAATCTGCCATTACCATCCTCACCCCTATACCAGATATTTGTACCCTCCTTATGCTGCTTTTACTCAAGTCTCATATCCAGGAGACCCTCCCTGACTACTTGGATCAGCAAGCGTTCAACTAGAGAAACAGAACCAGTAGGAGATGCCTATTAAGAGATTGATTGCAAGGAATTGGCTTACGTGATTGTGGGGGTAGCTGGGCGAGTCTGAAATCCATAGGGCAGGTCGTTAGGAAGCGTAGGCTGAAACTCTCACATGCAGGCTGAAGCTGCTGTCCAGAGCTGGAATTTCCTCTTCTTCAGAGAAGCCTCAGCTTTGCCCTCAACAGATTGAATCAGGCCTCCACAGATTCCCTAGAATGATCTCCCTTTCTTGGTGCCAACAGATTACTGCCTTTGATTACCTCTACAAAATATCTTCATAGCAACACATAGATTAGTGTCTGATTGAATAACTGAGGATTTCAGCCCCGAGAAGTTGACAGATAAAACTGCCCATTCCAGTACTGTATTTAAAACAGAGTTCCTTATAACTCTCTATCCACTTACTTTGCTTTATTTTCTTCACAAAATTTATCACTTCCTGACATCATTTTTATGTTTCTTTCTTTATGTATTAGCTACTAACCTACTATAATGTAAGATTCACCAGGAAAAGAATTTTGTCATTTGATTGAGTTAGCTAATATTTGTTCAAATAATCTACTTTTGGACATAGTGTTCATTTCTGCTATTTTATCACTATGACCAATGTTAGTAAAAAGATCTTTATACACACACACACACACACACACACACACACACACACATCTTTGGTTACTTTTCCAATTTTTAATTTTTTTTTTTTTTTGAGACAGAGTTTTGCTCTTGTTGCCCAGGCTAGAGGACAGTGGCATGATCTCAGCTCACTGCAACTTCTGCCTCCCAGGTTCAAGTGATTCTCCTGCCTCAGCGTCCAGAGGAGCTAGGATTACAGGCATGTGCCACCACACCCAGCTAATTTTTTATTTTTAATAGAGACAGGGTTTCTCCATGTTGGACAGGCTGGTCTCAAACTCCCAACCTCAGGTGATTTACCCACCTCAGCCTCCCAAAGTCCTGGGATTACAAGCATAAGCCACTGCGCCTGACCCAATTTTTAATTTTTATAAGTATTTTGGTTTTTCCAATCTAGTTTTTCTGTTAGATTTTAATGTCCGGCTTATAGAAATTGACATTTATTTTCTTAGATTTGGTGAATCCACTTTCTCTTAGCTTTATTCCAATGGCTCTGACATCCTGTACTCAGGATCCCACATGGACTTTGACTTATACTCTTACATTGTAAGCTTTAAATGTTATTGTTTCTCAGACTTCCACTTTCAAATCTATTTCTCCAACAACCCATTCTCCAAGCTACAAACATGATGTTATTCATAGTCATCTCTTTTCACTTAACCTCCATGTTTTATTGATTAATTCTGATCAAAAATACCTCCATAATTATTCATAGTCTTTCACAATGTTTTGTTCCCACTACCACTATCTTAATTTAGGTCCTCATTGCGTCTTACCTCCTGACTTGTCTCCCTGCCTCTAATCCTAACCCTCTCTGATCCATCCACAACACAACAATGGCTGTATCTTTCAGAAATACAAAACATCATATAATTTCTCTGATTAAAATATTCGCCTGCTTAAAATATCATTCATATTTTAAAATCTTCTGTTTTTACCATCAAGTCCAAGCTCTATAACATATCAACCAAAACCCTGAGGAATATGATCCCTGCTCACCTCTCTGGCATCGTCTGTCACTTGCACACACACATTCTTTGCTCCCACCATTCACAAGTTTTTGCAGTGCCCCAGATGTTTCAGGCAGCTTCCATTCTCCAGATTGTCCCACCTAATGTTTCCTCTAGGTTCTCCATCATTTTCATCTAGCCAATTCCTTCCTGTCCTTCAAAACACAGCTCCATTATTTTCTCCTCAGTTGATGAATTAGGCTTATCTGCCTTCTACTTGAGACTGTAAGAACATCGTGGGCCAGATCTACGTCTTACTAGACCTTATGACGCCTCCGCTTAGCAAACAAAAAGCAGTTGTTGGGCTGATTAATTAGTAATCTGTCCACATCTTTGAATCTCCAACCTTAAACCCAACTACTCCTCCACATAAATTAGCACATGCTGGGTCTTCTGATAGGTCAGTCTTTGCCCCCGCTTCCATCCCCAATTTTGCCTTTTCCATGTCTGTCTTGGTGCTCTAAGGATTTACCCAAGTCCCATCTTTCTATGAGTCTAATAAAAGATGCAGGAATATATCGGGAGCTCAGCCTTTCCAGTTAGTAGAAAGTGCCCTGGGCATACGTGTTTCTATAAGTAATCTGGCTGTGCCAGCCTCTGTACCTATTTCATTGATCCAGTTTGTGCACCGGGGCTTTTCGCCTGGGTCTCCCTTCCTATGATTATAGCAACATTAGAGACCTACAATGATAACTTTTGTAACCTGTTCTAAGCTTGTTTTCTAGGATACCAGATCTTCTTTCTCACACCTCAGTCATTGGCTGAAGTTCTCATAACCAAAATGAGTTTTTTGAAACCACCATGACACTTCATCTGATTTCAAATATTGCCTCTGGTCTAAGTCTTCTACACCTCATTGAACAATGGAGGTTTCCAAAAACAGTCTCCAAGGACTTATATTGCAGTCCTAGGAAGAGGGGAATGATGTGAGCAAAACCAGAGAACTGTGTATTAATTATCTATTGCTGTGTAACAAATTACCACACATTTACTGGCTCAAAACAGTATACAATTACAGATGCTCCTCAACTTATGATGGGATTACATCTCGATAAGCCCACCATAAGTTGAAACCATTGTAATTCAAAAATGCATTAAATATATCCAGTTTACCAAACATCATAGCTTTAGGCTAGCCTACCTTAAACATGCTTGGAACACTTACATTAGCCCATTATCGGGCCAAATCATCTGGAAACACAGTACACTGTAGAGTGCCAGTTGTTTGCCCTTCTGATGGTGTGGCTGACTGGGAGCTGTGGCTTCCCGCCATGCCCAGCATGGACAGATGGTATCGTACTGTGTATCACTAGCCTGCAAAAATATCAAAATTCAAAATACAGTTTCTACTGAATATTTTTGTCTTTTGTCTCATACTAAAGTTGAAAAATCATTAAGTTAAACCACAGAAATTCAACAATTGTCTGTATAAGCGCCCAGAATCTGGACATAGCTTAACTGGGTCCTCTCCTTCAAGGTCTCTGATGAGGCTGCAATCAACGTGTTGGCCAGGACTGTGATCTCATCTGAAAGCTCAACTGAAGAGGATGATCTGCTTCCAAGTTCATGCGGTGGTTAGCGACATAAAATTCCCTATGTTCTGTTCGATGGAGGGCCTCAATTTCTTGCAGCTGACAGCCTGCAGCCACCCTCAGTTTCTTTTTACTGAGTCTCCCTAGCATAGTTGCTTGCTTCATGCATGCAAACCCAGAACGCAAACCCGAAGAGTCTGCTAGCAGTAAATTAATACAACCACTATGGAGAACAGTTTGGTGGTTCCTCAAAAAACTAAAAATCAAGTTACCATATGATCCAGCAATCCCATTGCTGGGTATATACCCAAAAGAAAGGAAGTTAGTATATTGAAGAGATATCTGCACCCCTATGTTCATTGTAGCACTGTTTACAATAGCTAATATTTGGATAACCTAAGTTTCCACCAACAGAGGAATGGATAGAGAATATGTCACACACACACACGTGCGCACATGCACGTGCACACACTCACACACACACACACACACAGTGGAGTACTATTCGGCCAGAAAAAGAATGAGATCCAGTCACTTACCACAACATTGATGGAGCAGAAGATCATTTTGTTAAGTGAAATAACCACAGAAAGACAAATGTTTCATGTTCTCACTTATTTGTGGGATGAAAAATAAAAACAGTTGAACTCATGGACATAGAAAGTAAAAGAACAGTTATCTGAGTCTGGTAAGGATTGTGCAGGGAGAAGGTGGGCTTGGTTAATGGGTACAAGAAAATAGAAGGAATGAATGAGACCTATTTGATAGCACAATAGAGTGACTATAGTTAATAATAACTTAATTGCACATTTTAAAATAATTCAGAGTGTAAATGGATTTCTGTTACTCAAAAGATAAATGCTTGAGGGAATGGGTACCCTATTCTTCATGATGTGCTTAAATCACATTGCATGCCTATAATCAAAACATCTCATGTACCCCATAAATATATACACCTACTACACTCACAGAAATTTAAAAATAAAAATAAGGAGAGTCTGTTAGCATACAGAAGTTACAATACTGTCCAGTGTAATTACAGCTGACATCCCACCACCTCAGCCACATTCTATTGGTTAGAAGCTAGTCAGGTCTCATCCACACTCTGGTGAAGGGATTACATAACTCATAACTATCAAGGACAGAGATATATGGAGCCCATTTTAGAATCGTTCTGCCTCAAACTGGTTCATCAAAAACTCTGAAAGTCACTGGTATCAGCAGCATGCTTTAGTAGAGCATAACATAAAAGAAGAAAGTATTCAGTTGTGGAATCTTGTTGTGAGTCTAAGAGTACAGAGAACCTAGAGGGACTTGGGAACAATCTGAGGCTGAAAGATACTAAAACAAACTAAAATTCCTTGTATTTTTGCTTCAGACCAGCCTTTAAAAGAAAAACACAAGGTTGGAGTCAATAAATGTAAATAACCATATGACCACATGATGGCAGTAGATGCCAAGAAATTGTGTTACATGCACATGAGGGGCGGAAGAGCAAGTTTATCTCCCTGTATGGCAACCCACATTTTCCTTTCTGTCTGACTGCCGGAAGGACAGGGGGAGGTATCTAGAATCTTTCCACACACACATCCCTGAAGCACTACCCATAAGTATTACCACTGAAGAGCGAGGACATAGTTCACTGTATCCCTGTATCCCTCCCACAATTCCTAGAAGAGTAGTAAGGGTCATAGGGTGAAAGAATGAGACCTCCTGAAATACTTACGAAGACTTCCCCTATCAAGTACTCACAGCCAAATGTTTCAGAGTGGCCTTAATTAAAACAATGTCATACTTGATCTGTTATGAAGCTAGTCTAGTTCAGTGTTGATATCACTGGGGAAATCCCAGGGGAAAGAAGTGTCAAAAAAAGGGGGAATGTTATTTCTACAAGTGAGAGACATTAAGGATAAACACTTAGCACCATATAGGCATGCCTCACATACATATACAGTGGATATATTCACATATATTTCAAAGTATAATTTCAAACTATTACCCAGTCAGAGTGACTAGATCTGCCATTAATAGAAGAGGAGGTAATTAAACAGAATTGATGCTCTAAAGAAGTTTTATTATCAGAGAGGCTTTATTATCTGAGTTTAAGTATAAACTGAGAAATCTTAATAAGACTTTTTCTAATTGTCTCATATCTTCTTAGTGAGTCCATTTCAAGAGGGGCTAATACCTGGCACTGTTCAAATTTGTTTAATCCTGAGATGTTCTACAAAGGCAGTTTGGTTTTACAAAAGTGAAAATTCCGTATATGTTTAAGTTTTCTTTGTAGTCTTCTTGGTTTTTTTTTCATAGACAGGGTCTCACTATGTTGCCCAGGCTGGTCTCAAACTCCCGGACTCAAGCTATCCTCCCATCTCAACATCCCAAAGTGCTGGGATTACAAGCATGACCCACTGTGTTATACCAGACCGAGCATAGAAAGTCAACACCAAGATAAAAGTATGCCAAATTGCAGGGTTTATTGCCAGCAACCACGGAGGACTCACGTCTCTCCAACCTGTGGCCCCGTAAAAGAGGGTAACAAGACCTTTTATACCCGTAAAAATCACCTTGGGGGTGAGGGGAGGGGATGGGGTGAGGGGCTACAGACATTCTGAGGGCTAGTGGATTCAAATCACCTTCTGGGTGGAGATGAGGGTGAGGGGGTTCGAACATTCCAGTGGATTCTTGGGTGAAGATGAGGGTGAGGGGCTCCGGACATTCCGAGGGCCAGGGAACTATTTGACATTCTGATTGTCACTTGAGGGGTTCACAAATGCTAAGATTAGCATTCATTTACACATCATCTGGGTAGGGGTGGGATCCACAGATTTTTAGTTACTTGGCGCCAGGATGGAATTATCTGGGGGTGCTTATTCTGATTATTACCAGTAAACAAAGGCCAGCAATTCTGGCAGTTACAGATAAGAGAAGGTAAGCAGTTTTACCTCTTTGCATTCTGCAAAGTAAACTAGCAGTTTTACAGAAGCCAAGGTTAGCAGTCATTGTGAGGAGAATGAAACAGTTTTGTCTTTTATAAAATGGCATTGCTCAGGTTCTAACTCTAGGCCAGCTATATCACATTCCCCCCTGTTCTTTTAACATGTATTAAATCTTTAATAGGTGTCCTCTTCTTGACACAGGGACCCATAGTTGGAACTTAGAACCATTAATTTTACCGAATCTATTCTTTCCTGGATAAATTTGCAGAGCAAGTTTAAAAGACATGGTTCAAATGTTAACCACTAACACCAAGGGTCCTGCTAATCCAGTGAGCAGGGATGTCAGCCAGGGGGACCAAGAGAACATTTTTTGGTACCAATTTCCTGAGACCTCTCTGAGGTGTTTTCTTGTTTGTAAGTTCTGCCTAACCATCGCAAGGCTGTCTCAGATAATTCCAGAATTATTTGCATAGAAGCAACATTGCTCACCAAGAGCCGCACACAGTCCTCCTTCCTTCAAGAACAGGCCTAATCCCCTTCTATGTTGTAATACCGTTTCAGCCAATGAGTCTACTTGTTCAGCTAATTTGGTGATGGAATTTTCCAGATGGGTAATATCTGCATCTATTTGGTGTGAAAGAGTTTTGAAATTTTGGTCCCCAGTGACTAAGGCAGATATTCCTATAGCGGTGGACCCTGCTATTCCAAGCCCCACTAATAGGGGTATAATTATGGGGGCCCGTTTCCAATGCCTGTCTGTATCGGGTGCTATGAGAATTTCACCTTGGGGTCCACTATAAACATTTACCCAGGGTATTATATACACGGGGGTACAAAGAATGGGTTTTGAGGAGTTGCTGAACTGGTAGGTGGAAATACAGCTCGTGAGGCCAAAAGTACAGGCAAACCAAGCAGAGTCTGGGGCAGTGTAGTAAAAACTTGTCTGACTATAACTTAAAATGAGGATATTTTTGCAAAAACGTCAGTAGGGGGAGCTGGTGAGATCATAGGGGAGTGGAAACATCTGCCCTCTCCCTCTAGATCCCCTACTGTTATGTGGAACTGCCTTTCAGTACATGAGGTATTTGAGGGGGCTATATCGGGTTGTCCTGCTAGGCCTATGTAAAATGGTGGCTGTGGATTTAAGCATAGCCAGCAATCTTTTCCTAGATCTGGGTTTGTCTGGTTGAGCAGGTGGTGTGTGGCGGACAACATGTTTAGAAGGTTCAAGCTTTCTATGTCTGGGGGGGGCTTCTGTGAATAGGTTTGGAATGGAGATAGCAGAGCTAGGAGTGGAGGATAGGTTGGGAGTAGCAGGGCTAAGACTGGGGGCTTTCCGGACCTTGGGGATGACTTCTGGGGGCCTTAGGACCTCAGCTACAGGTCCCATTGGGCAGTCAGTTCTGGGCAATGGTATACGCTGGATGGTAAAGATGTTTCCCTTATCCCATCAACTCATATATACCCTAAGACCCCAGGTTCACCCTGTTGCCCATCTCCCATCTGGATACAGAACCGTTATTTTGAGTGGGTTACAAGAACCAGTGTGGCAAGGGCTCAGGGGAGAGTCTTGGGTGAAAGAGATGAATGTGTCTCTGTTTGTAGTATATCCTGTTATAGT